ACGGCGGCGGCGAGGCCGGCTGCAGAGCGTTCCCTGCGCATGCGCAGGGGACGCTCTGTTACTTTTGGGGGGATTCAAGTATCCCCCCAATATTTTTTTCAGGTTTTAAGATTTTTGTGCACACCTGGGGACCGTCCCAAGTGTGCACAAAAATCTCCCTCCCCCCCAGGTGCCCCCGATTTAGGTATCTTCGGAATTAGATATATAGATTAGGAAAGGGACGGAGAATGAAACGGCCAATATTGTACTGCCCCTGTATAGATCTATGGTGTGGCCTCATTTGGAAGACGGTGTACACTTCTGGTCACCATATCTCAAAAAGTACATTGCAGAGATGGGAAAAGTACAGAAGAGGGCAACCCAGATGATTAGGGGGTTGGAGCACCTCCCCTATGAGGAAAGGCTGAAGAGTCTCCGGGACTTTTCAGTTAGAGACGACATGATAGAGGTTTATAAAATTATGCACGGGGTGAAGAGACTTAACAAAGAATTTTTCTCCTTCTCCCAAAATACTCGAACTCAGGGGCATCCCATGAAGTCGATAGACAGTAGATTCAGGACGGACAAAAGGAAATACTGTTTTACACAGAGCATGATTAAAATGTGGAATTTGGTGCCAGAGGGTGTAGTGATGGCCACAGGAATAAACAGCTTTAAAAGGGAGGAGAAGTCTCTCCGTGGCTACAAGCCATGCTGACTAAAGGGAAGCTCTAAATTCAGAGGAAGTCAGCCTCTGAATCCCAGAGGCAGGAGGCAACATCAGGGGAAGGTCTCAGCCTCTATGCCCTGTTGCTGGCCCTCTAGAGGAATTTGTTGGCCACCATGTGAGTCAGGATGCTGGGCTAGATGGACTATTGGTCTGATCCAGCAGGGCTCTTCTTATGTTCTTATGGATTTAATGTTTATCAGGGATTTTGCATGTCTTTCAGAGAAGGTATGAACACCCACCATGACACTCCTTTTCTCAGTGTGTCATTGAATGAGGGCCAATCTGCCCTCCATCTAATCTCTGTGCCCCATACTTTTTTGATTGTATTTACTGTGGAGTGCTGGAGAATCTAGCATCCTTTTCACTTCCTTTTTCAGTCTGCTATTTTTTTAAAAAAGATTTACTATTATTTAATTATTGTTACAGGTTTCTCAGTGGACACGATACTTTACAGAATTTCATTAGCAAAAGCTGGAAAAGTCTCTGCCCCCAAGATGCTTACAGTCTTGGGGGGGGGCAACAGAGAGAGAAGCAAGAGCTTTCCTCAAGTAGCAGAGGCATGGTTGGTTCATCCAACCCCTATGAGTTTGTACTGGATACTGAAGGGGGATTGACATTGATATGGAAGGGGGATAGGCTTTGAGGAAGATGTCACATGAGCAGTGATTTTGGTAGAGCAGGGTTTGGATTGGGGAGGGTGTTTAGGAGTAAGAGGGATAAGATGCCCTACTATGTGAATTCACCCAGTTAAGCAGGCTCCATCGTGAGTGGTCTGAGGTACCTCATTGTGACTTCTCTGGTAATGACAAATGGTCATTGCTGTTCAGTGCATTTTAGGTCGGTTGATTCCTTAATGCAACCATGGGGTTGGGTCCAATATACTGTGATTTACAGCCCTCCTATCTGACCCATGTCCCAAATGTCAAAGTGTTATCTATACATGATCTCCTGCTTGCTTTCCCTCTTTGCTAGAACCACCTGAACCAGCGAAGCCTTGGCTTACGCAGGAGGCCTCAGAAGACTTTGTGGACAGCACCAGTCTCTATTCTGCTCGCCTTCTCCTTGTCGCTTCCCTATGGCCTTATATTTTCTACCTCTCCACTGAATGCCCAGTGCTACTTATTATTTTGCTTGTCCTTATCATGTGAATAGTTTCCTCATCAGTGTCCTGTTGAGGATCTGGGATTGTGACGAAACAACTGTGGCATCCAAAGCTAGACATCTGGTGTGATTTTCTGAACTCATGAAGCGGCTTTATACTGAGTCTGACTGTTGGTCTGACAAGGTCAGCTTTGTCTACTCTGCCTGACAGTGGCTGTCCAGGGTCTCAGGTGGCTGTCTTTCATGTAACCTACTAGCAGACTTTATAAATTGGAGACGCCGGGGATTGAACCTGGGACCTTCTGCATGCAAAGCTGATACTTTACCACTGAGCTATGGCCCTTCTCCTGTGTTTGAGATTCCAAAGTGTTAGCTATGTTCGTTTTTAGCTGAAAAAAGCAACAAGGAATTTTGGGGCACCTTGAAGAAATCCAGATTTATCAGTGTCAACTTGGTGCTGATCTACTGTAGGGTAATACACAAGCTAGTGTTTGATCCTGGTTCTCTGTCAATCTCTGAGCAATAGATTTGGCTTAGCTCTCCTTTTTGTACAGGTGACACTGGGTACCCAGTGTTTAATAAAAGTCGTTGAGAGAGATAATGGTTTTGGAAAAGACCTGTGGCCACATGTTGTTAACATACCCTCTGGTGGTGGCTTTTCTCTTTACTGTAGCTTGTATGCATGTAGTTGGAGCACATGATATCACAAGCCTGTCCAGTGTTCTTTCCTGCCCAGAAAAAGCAGGTTGTGTGTCCCATCATTACTGGGAAAATCAACTCCCACCGTGAGCCAGCTCTGCACCGCAAAAGACATGCAGAGAAGTGTTCAAATACAGCTGGGGAGTTTCGTTTCTCTGGAAACTTGCCAGAGCTCAACACTGAGTATTCTTTGGGCCCATTGTGAAGGAAAAGATCTCATCCTGAACCAGAAACAGGGAGAATTATAATAGCTGCTGTGATTGTTTGATTCAGAAAATGGATATCCTGGTGGCTAAATCTTCTGCAGCTGAGCGTGTGAATTAATGAGAGATTATTTGGCACATGAGAAAAGGAGAAGGCTCCATAGAATCATAGAGTTGGAAGGGACCTCCAGGGCCATCTAGTCCAACCCCATGCACAGTGCAGGAAATTCACAAATATCTCTCCCCACACCCCCAGTGACCCCCTGCTCTATGCCCAGAAGGGGGCAAAAAATACCCCTTCAGGATCCCTGGCCAAACTGGCCTGGAGAAAATTTGCTTCCTGACCCCAAAGTGGTGATCAGCATTTACCTGGGAGTAAGAAAGGGGCATGAAAACTAAGCACTGATGCAGCCCTTCCTGCCCACCTTTCTCGTGATCTGCCTGAGTTCACAGAATCAGCATTGCTGTCAGATGGCCATCTAGCCTCTGTCTGAAAACCTCCAAAGAAGGAGAGCCCACCACCTACTGTGAAGGGGTTGTACACTTGAGCATTATGGGCTTATTCAGTCTTTCAGGTGCCTGTTGGACTCCTGCCTTTCACCTTTGCTAACTCATGAGAAATCACCTGAAACTGCCTTATACTGAATCAGACTCTTGGTCCATCAAAGTCAGTATTGTCTACTCAGACTGGCAGCGGCTCTCCAAGGTCTCAGGCTGAGGTCTTTCACATCACCTACTGCCAGATCTTTTAACTGGAGATGCGGAGGAGTGAACCTGGGAACTTCTGCCTTCCAACCAGATGCTCTATCGCTGAGCCACAGCCCCTCCCTCATTGGCTCCCATTCTACTCCCAACAAGTGTTTGTAGGGACATTCAATCTGGGTTTATGTGGTTCTTCTCTGTGTCTTCCCTTAGCTAACAAGCTAGAACCCTCCCAAGATGGCAGAAGCTCACCAGGCTGTGGCCTTCCAGTTTACCGTCTCTCCAGAGGGCATTGACCTTCAACTGAGCCATGAAGCCCTCAAGCAGGTCTACCTGTCAGGCCTGCGGTCCTGGAAGAAGAAAATCAACAAGTTGCGGGTAAGACAGGGATGGCTGGGGGATCTTGGTTTGCTCCTGGGGCTCAAAGGTTGCTTTCGCCCAGAAATATTCCTCTGTGTTCCCTACTTCAAAACTGGAACATTTCTTCTGGGGGCTTCCTCATGGCATTGTTGTCTGGTTATTCCCCTGGTTCTCTCCAGTGGGGGACCCCAAATGGCTTACATTGTTCTCCTCTCCTCTATTTATCTTCATAACAATCCTGGGTGGTAGGTTAGGCTGGGAGCGATGCTCCCTCTAAGCTGTGCAGTCCTGTGAGCAAAAATCCTACTTTGCGAGCTCCTGGCATTAAAGTTGTGAGCGAGCGATTTGGCTACTGCAGAAATTGGTTTGCTCCGGAGCCATCCTTCCTTGAGCGAAGACAAAAATGTGTGAGCCGGAGGCTAAAAAACCGCAAGCTAGCTCACACCAACTCGGCTTAGAGGGAACACTGGCTGGGAGTCTGTGATGGGCCCAAGGTCATCCAATAAGTTTCCATGACAGAGTGGGGATTTGTACCTGGACTGGATCTGGGATTCGTACCTCCCCGATCTAGTCCAATACTTCAGCCACTATACCATATTAAACACTTTTAAGTGATCTTGATTATACCTCGGTGGGGGATATAACCAGCTCTTCTACTGGTGAGAAATTAAGGAGAGATTCCCCCTGTGAGCACCTAAAATGGCTGTGCTGGGGATTAGGGGGACCTGCATGGACAAAAGCTATAGAACAAGACTGAGTGAAAAATCTGGAAGGATCCTGCCCATCATTAGACATGGAGCTGTCGCATGGTAGAGGTTTGGAGAGCCAGTTTGGTGTAGTGGTTAGGAGCACGGACTCTAATCTGGGAGAACCAGGCTTGATTCCCCACTCCTCCACATGCAGCTGCTGGTGTGACCTTGGGCAAGCCACAGTTCTCTCAGAACTGTTCTCTCACAAGCAATTCTCTCAGAGCTCTCTCAGCCCCACCTACCTTACAGGTCGTCTGTTGTGGGGAAAGGAAGGGAAGGAGATTGTAAGCCGTTCTGAGACTCCAAGCGAAGGGTGGGGTATAAACCCAATCTCCTTATTCTTTTAGAGGTTGGGCGGTGGGCAGGAAGACCAGGACCAGCCATGCTATGAAATGTTGTAACTTGCTCTTAGTTTCCCCACCCTTCACATCTGTCTTTTTTTTTTTTTACCCTTTCCCCACAGAACAGTTTTGTGACCGGAGTATACCCTGCCAGCCCTTCCAGTTGGCTATTCATGGTTACTGCTATCCTGGTGACCCAATACTCTCGACTTGACCCCTCCATGGGCATGATTGGAAAGATCAAGGAACACCTGCCAGTCAGGTATGCTGTTGAGAAGGAACGGGGGGGGGGGTAGTTGCTGAGGGACCAGTGGGCAGTTATACTAAGGGTCTCACTACATAATACATTGTTCCCTCCTCAAGTCCACACTGGGTTCCATCAAACAGACATCCACTCTGAGATCCAGGGTGAAACTTGATTCCCAGGTGTGTAGTGGGCCCAATTCAGATCAGGACTGTGCTGTGTGGGGAGAGAGGGGGCTTAAGCCTTTCCCAGTTTCCCCACTGGAGAAACTTTTTTGTAGCCCAATTGGTTAAGGTTGCCAGCTCCAGAGACTTTGGGGATGGGCGGGGTTTGGGGAGGGGATGGACCTCAGTGGGTATAATGGCATAGAGTCCACCCTCCAAAGCAGTCATTTTTTCTAGGGGAACTGATCTTGGTTGTCTTGAAATCAACTGTAATAGCAGGAGATCGCCAGGTGCCCCCTTGGCAGGTAACAACCCTACCACTGATACATACATCCCTCCCCAAACAGGGCAAATAGTGGTTCCCTGCAGCTGTTTCAGATTGGAAACACCACATGGGGACAGCTTCAGCTCACCCTCTCTGCACACCACACAGTCCCAATCTGAATCGGGGCCCCTGCTCCTGGGAATTAAGCTTCATCTGGAAACTCTCAGTGTAACTCTGCTTGAGAGAGCTCAATGCAGGCTTGGGAACAATATATCATGTTGTTAGGCTGTAAGATGCTCTTCAAAGAAGTTTAATTAAAATCACACACAAACACCTTCCAGAGATGTGTCTGTGTCAAACTCAAAAGGATAAGGAGATTTTCTGTCCAGGAGACTCTCGGGAACAGCATTTCAGGTCTCGTTTTGGGCTGTAGTGGAAGGAGGAAGGAGGCCAGAAAGTTGCACTCCACAGACAGAGGTCCTTCTGTCTGCAGAAACCCTCCTTTGGATCTAACTGATTGTTTGCTGTAGCAGCCAGAGAGATTTGTAGTGCAAAAGGCCAGATTACTGCTGTATAAACTATACAGGTAATCAGTTAATTTAGGAACAATGCATTCCACTCCCCTGGAAGGACCTTTTTCAGTTTTGTACTTGGGGTTTTTTCCGCATAATGGTGTTTAATCTTGTCCGTATGCTATATTGAAATTATCTTATGATGGCCTACCATCAATAAGCAACAAAGGATTGGGAATTAACCTGATTACTTCATAGCTAGAGGATGCTAGGAGGATGCAAAGAGGGGCTGTGCTACTTAAGAACATAAGAACATAAGAGATGCCAATGTTGGATCAGGCCAAAGGCCCATCCAGTCCAACACTCTGTGTCACACAGTGGCCAGAAATACCAGTGCCATCAGGAGGTCCACCAGTGGGGCCAGGACATTAGAAGCCTCCCACTGTTGACCCCCCCAAGCACCAAGATGACAGAGCATCACTTGCCCCAGAGTCCCCATCTAATAGCCACTGATGGACCTCTGCTCCATATGCTTATCTAATTCCCTTTTGAAGCATACTTGCTTCCTAAAGGATTGGGGGAGGGGAATCACACAGGATAAATCTTATCAAGGGCCATTAGACTCAAGAGCTATAACGGGGTTTCCCTTTTCATGGATAGTTTATCTGATCCCCAAATACTAATCTTTATCTGTGCTACTCCCCTTGTGAGCTTCCTTGGGTCATTTTTTTGAGCCACTGCTGAGGAAGTGCTGGAGTATACGGTTTGCTAGAGAAAGACTGCAGTAGGGGTGTGTGTTTTTGTAGTTTAGAGCAGAGGCACTGAAATCTGGAACTGTGGGTTATGCTTTTGTAGGATGGATAGATATGCTTTTTAATTCTCCCTCTCTTTCGTTCCTCTTCTCCATCAAACTGACCCCAGTGACTACCTGTCAGATCAGGGCCAGAATGTCCTCAGTGCCTTGGCTTTTTCCACGGGGCTGTGGCTGGCCCTCATCCTGACCATGCGCGGAATTCTCAGGCTGCTCCTGTGCTACCATGGATGGATGTACGAGGAGCACGGCAAGATGTCCAACATCACTAAGATCTGGCTGGTATGTATCACAAGACAGCTGTGGCTTCCCCCTCTTTTCAGGGAGGGGCTGTGGCTAAATGGTAGCACCTTTGCTCGGCTCACAGAAAGTGCCAGGCTCAGTCCCCAGCATCTCCAGTTAAAAAGATCAGGCTGAAAGATCTCTACCGGAGATCCTGCCGAGCAGAGACTGTCTGAGTAGAACAAAGTTTGAGTCCAGTAGTACCTTTAAGTCCAACAAAGTTTTATTCACGGTATAAGCTTTCGTATGCAAGCACACTTCCTCAGATACAGTGGAACAGAACCTCCTCAACCATTACTTATGGGGGAGGGAGGTTAGAGTAATAGAATCATAGAGTTGGAAGGGATCTCTAGGGTCATCTAGTCCATCCTTCTGCACAATGCAGAAAATTCACAAATACCCCACCTCCAGTGACCCCTGTTTCATGCCCAGAAGATGACAAAAATCCTCCAGGATTCCTGGCCAAACTGACCTGGAGAAACTGTTGTCAGGAAGGGTGGTTTAGACTCAAGATGCATAAGTACTAGATGATTATCGCTGAGATTGGATATAAGAAAGATCTGTGAATGGCAGTGAATTAGCATACAAATACAAGAGTTAACAAACAGATGTGGGAACTGGGTTTGAGTCCAGTGGCACCTAGAAGACACATGAAGTGACCATGATGGACCAGTGGTCCGATTCACTGTAGGGGAGCTTCATGAGTTCACTCTTGGGAAGCGAGTGAATGAAGGGAATATGAAACAGATATTGCCAGCTGGGCCTTTTGAGGTGCTGTGGATTAAAAAAAAAACCTCAGTGCTTGTGTGAGTCGAACTGTCAAGAAGTCTGAAGAAGTGTGCGTTGCACATGGAAGCTTACACTTTGAATAACACTTTGTTGGTCTTAAAGGTGCCACTGGACAGAGACTTTGTTCTGTCAAGAATCAAGATGGCGCTGAAGGCCACTTGTGCCTGGACCAAGCCAGCAAGCCTGGCTGCTGCCACGCTGATTCTTGCCTTTGAGGCGAAAGGAGTTGGATCCACATCACCCCCAGTGGGAAGGAAGAGTCATTGCAGGGCAATGGATCCTGGCTAGACATTACCAGGCTGCTGCTGCTCCTGTCAAGGAATTGGGGTTATAGTCATAAATTTAGCAACAAGCAGCAACGGGCCACAAAGGCCTGTGGTAGCCACTTCATTGGAATCGGCCACCAGGAGCAGGATTCTTGTACTTAGAAAATATAGTATTGTCAGGGAGAAGACTGGACTTACCATCCTCCCCCTGACTTCTGTAGGCAAGGGATTTTTTTGTGTGTGGACATTGAGTCCCATCTTTGGACTTACCACCTGAGAGAGAGAGAGGTGGGGAGAGGAGCTGCCTGAGAAAACTAAGCAGGGAGATGGAGGGGAGCTTTGTTCCAACTTAAAACCCATTTTTGTCTCACTGCAGGCTCTGGTGAAAATCTTTGCTGGTCGGAAGCCCATGCTATATAGCTATCAAGCCTCACTGCCTCGTTTGCCTGTCCCAGCTATCAAGGATACTATGCGACGAGTGAGTCTGATTGTGTTCTGCACCATGCCCTCTCTTTTTATAAATTACATATATTATATTCAGGGTTGCCATCCCCCAGGTGGGTGGAAATAAGCAGAACAACCGTGAAGTATTATGCCCAAGAAAAATATCCAAAGACATTGGCTGATATACACAGAGAGAAAATATGGAAGGAACCTTACTTTGCATTTATTTTGCCACATTTTTTAAAAAAATGAGTATAGCTCTAAGGTGACTTTTTCCTTCCAAAATATATTTTGGGTCTTTCCACAGTAACAATAATAATTATAATATTTATCGTATGTCATTGTGTGTAGAAGAGCCAGGAGATCCTAAGATTGCCTGGCAGCCAGAAGTTCTTGCTCTTATCATTATGCACCACTAGGTGGTGAGCTAGACTTGTTCTTAAGGCAAGAGACGTTTCAGAGGTGGTTTGCCATTGCCTGCGTCTGGATCATGCCCCTGGTATTCCTTGGAGGTCACCCTTCCACATACTAGCCAAGGCTGACCTGGCTTAGTTTCCAAGATCTGATGGGATTGGGCCAGCCTAGGCTATTCATGTCAGGGCTCCTCAGTAACAACAGCTTGTGGAGCTCTGGTTCCACCACTGAAACACTGATGCTGGTCCACCTCACTGCTCCCCAAAGCTGCTATCTGAGATTTAAGTCTCTGATACTAACAAATTTCTAGGGACCCTTAACCAAGAGCTTCTGTTAAAATGCCATCCCTTTTCAGGTGTGAAAATATCTCAACAGTTCTTCTGCTTTTTAAACATCTGTTCATTAAGAGGAACTGAGGTTTTCCTTTCCGGTCTCTCTGTCATGAACTGCTTAGTTACACATTCTCAATCTATTTTACCTCACAGCATTGTTCTGACGAAAAAAGAGGAGGAGCGGGAAATTGTGCACACCTCCTTGAGCTCCTGGGAGAAAGAATAGGATTAAAATGTGATTGTCTTAGAAATGATATAATTGCCATCTCCCTCAGGCCCTACGTGGCTTGGGACCGTGGGTATTTGGAGATCCATCTTCTCCCATATGTTTCTGCCCAAGAATTAGGATCACAAGGACTGGCCCTCCTGACTGTCCCACCAATCAAAGAAGCTTGTTTGGTGGGTACATGAAAGAGGGCCTTTTCAGCAGTAGCCCCACAATTATGGAACAACCTCCTCAAGGAAGTGCGCCTGACCCCCCTCATTTTCGATCATTAGGAGGCAGTTGAAAACAGTTTTATTTAGTACCGTATCTGATTAAAGCCATCCTAAACTGTGGTTTTAAATTTTGGTTTTATGTATTTTTAGGTCATGAGTTTTATGTATTTTATTTATATTGTAGGCTGCCTTGAGTGCTGTAAGGAAGAAAGGCAGCTAACAGATGTTTTAAATAAATTAACAATGCCCTTTCAAAGCTTCTATTCCCTTCCTTCAGACTTGTACATACCCACAACGTCCCTCTCCTTCCGTCAACAGTGGACTGAGATGTGGGGAAAGGCCCAGGAATAAACCACGCGAAGTGGCTCTTGTGGGGTTGGCAGCCCTCGCTCCCCCCAAGAGTTTCTTCACTGGAACCCAGGTCATGGCCTCCTCTTGTGCTGCTGCTACAGGTCAGGTCCAAACAGCGCCACTAGGGCTTGAGTAGGCTTGCTGTTTACAGCCTTCCAAGGCAGGTTGCCCAAAGAAACTGTCCAAATAGGATGAAAAGTCAGTCTGTCCCACCTACTCTTCTAGAGGACCTTCTTGTCCAAACTGGTTTTGACAGAGGGAATGTGCAAAAACAGGTTGGTGGGTGGACAGTGACCTCAAGCAATGTAGCGGTTCTTCGCTGCCATGGTCTTTTGATCACCCGCCTCTCTTCCCCCACCCAGTACCTTGAGTCCATACGACCTCTTATGACGGATGCCGAGTTCCAGCGTATGACAGGTCTCGCCCGTGACTTCGAACAGAACCTGGGACCTCGCTTGCAGTGGTACCTCAAGCTGAAGTCTTGGTGGGCATCCAACTATGTGAGTGGTCCTCAAAAGGGGGAGAGGGTGCTCCTTTGAATTTACATGTGGACGATGAGCGTGTGCATGTTTTAATTCTCCTTTCGGACCTCCCCAGGTGAGTGACTGGTGGGAAGAATATATTTACCTCCGTTCACGCGGCCCTCTGATGGTCAACAGCAACTATTATGTGATGGTGAGTTTCAGAAATGGGGAAGAGATGTTGTGTGTACGTTGATGGGAGGGTCCTTCTCTTCAGGCTTCTTTGACCCCTTTCTGTGCTCTCATTTTGTAGGATTTCCTGTATGTAACCCCAACCCCGGTTCAGGCTGCTCGTGCTGGCAACCTTGTCTATGCCATGTTGTTGTACCGACGGAAGCTCACTCGAGAAGAGATCAAGCCTGTAAGGGAGAACAAAATCTGGGTACTGTGGTGGGCTTGGAGGGTGAGGTGAGGTGAGAATGGTGAGGGGATCGGGCCGGGATGGAATTCAGGATGGGCCCAACCTATCTAGCTGTTATCATTTCCCCGAAGTTCTGGATCCAGCCACATTCACACATGAACCTAAACCCCCATCACAATATTTTACTATGCTGTTATAGATCGAATGCAGCCAATAATTTTGCCCCATGTAGAGGAACTGAATTTCAAGTCACTCCATTTGCTAATAAAGCTGCCTACATCAAAGACACTGTTGCAGTTAAGAACGTAAGAAGGGCCCTGCTGGATCATACCAATGGTCCATCTTGTCCCAGCATCCTGTCTCACACAGTGGGCAACCAGTTCATCTGGGTGGCCAACAATAGGGCATAGAGGCCGAGGCCTTCCCCTGATAAGAATATAAGAAGAGCCCTGCTGGATCAGACCGTTGAGGGTTCATCTAGTCCAGCATCCTATCCTACACAATGGCCAACCACTTCCTCTGGACGGCCAGTAACAGGGCAAAGAGGCCAAGGCCTTCCCCTAACGTTGCCTCCTGGCTCTGGGATTCAGAGGCTCAGTGCCTCTGAATGTGGAGATTCCCCTCAGTCATCGTGGCTAGTAGCCATTGATAGACTTACCCTCCATGAATCCATGTAATCTATCTAATACAACCCATTGTTTCAGAAGTTCCTTTTCGAGACAGAAAGCCTTGTTTTCAAACAAGGGGAGTTGACCTAAAGTTCTCACAGTTTTGGTTCTCTTGTCCATTACTTATTTAACAACTCCCTTTCTCTGTTGACTTTAAAATGTTCCTTAACTGTGCCAGGTTCGTTGAATTTTTTTAAAAAGTTTCCCGGTTTTTTATGTTTTCTCCCAATCTAATCCTGGGGTCCCCCTCCCGTCGCGAAACAGAACACAATCCCTAGTTCCTGCATCCCCCTCTGTGCAGCTCAGTGGGAACGTCTCTTCAACACCACCCGGATACCCGGGGTGGGGCTGGGTAAGTGACTCAGGGGGCACTGTGAGACAAACCTCCACCCCTACCCCTGGCCAAGGGGGCTTTTTGCAGGGTGACTCTGCTTTACGGTGTCTCTTGATGGGCTTTCTGACCCGGTTCTGAGATCCCAGGATTTCACTCTTGGGACCCCACTGTTCTACCTGAAGGTTGGCGCCTACAAATCTTTCACTGCCTGCAGCCTTTCTGGACTTCTTGCACCCCCTACTGTTCATCCTGGGGACATGCACATGCAACACTCAGACTGGCCACTCTGCTGCCTTGCATTTTTGCATCTTGAGCTTTGCCAGCACACTGTGGCTTGACTTTTCCAACTTTTTGGGGAGAAGGGATCCGCGTGCTCGTGTTGGAGGGTTCGTTTTGTTTGGGGCCGAGAGCCTTTTTTTGTTTTTCCTGAACGCAGCTTTGTTGGCATAACACCTTGACTGCTTCTCTCTCCGTTTCTCTCTTTCCTCTCCTCTGCCTCTGCTTCCCCCAGCTGATGATCCAGGGCTCCCTGCCCATGTGCTCGGCTCAGTATGAACGCGTGTTTAATACAACCCGTATCGCAGGCATGGAGGGAGGTATGATGCTCTAGGATACCTTACTCTCCCCTTCCTTTAAAAACCTGCTGGGGAGTGCTTGAAACAGGTTCCCCTCTCTTTCAAATCCTTCGCTGTTTTGGGGGATTCAGTTCTCTCCCTCAGGGATGGGGGGCAGGGACACCAGGAGTGGGGGAACAGAAACTGAACCCACGAGGCTGCCTTATATTGAGTCAGGCTGTTAGTCTGTCCAAGTCAGTATTGTTCACTCTGGCAGGCAGTGGCCCTCCAGGGTCTCTGGCAGAGGTGTTTCACATCACCTTTCACCTGGAGATGGTGGGCTTGAACCCAGGACGTTCTGCATACAAAGCAGATGTTCCACCACTGAGCCACAGCCCCTCTTTACTTGGAGTTGGGTCCCTTGGAGTAGGGCAGTTCTTTTTATTGCCCCCTCTCCCAAAACAGCAGAGGTGGTTTCGCAGGAGGGGGAAAAATATGAGGCCCGGGAATCAGCGCAAGACAGTCTTTCCCTCAAATTTCCATTCTGTGGTAATGATGAGGATGTGAGGGAACAGGTTTAGCGAAAGCATCAAAGGAGACTGGCAAGGAGCTGGAAAGAGGGGAGAACGTTAGCTAAGGCAGAAGTGAAAATGTGGGGAGATGTAGGTAGGCGGGAGATTGAGGCAGACTGAGTGCCAATGGAGGGGGGAGGTTAGGGCTGGTTGATATATGGCGCTTGGAACATAATGGGGGCTCAAAATCTATGAGGAATGAGTTGCCAGCGAGGATACCAGTGCCAGAATGACAATGCTGAAATTTCTAATGGGTCCTTTACTGTCTGTGAGAAGTTTGTTGGTTCCCACAAGAAGGTCCCTGGAAAGAAGGTCTCCTCAGTGAAGGGAATTCTGAGCTAGGCCAAAGCCTGATGTCTCTCTCCCCAAAACCCCGTCCCTAAAACGATCAATTCCAGTCCCCTTCATGAGGGAGAACCAGATGCCTGGACAAGTATCCCAAGTGCATAACTGTGATTTGGACTAGAAGTCGAGAGATTTCCCATTTCGAAGTGTTTTATACACAAATGCAGATTTGAACCAGGTGGCACTTTTGTAGGGGAATATGTCAAGGCGATGTAGACACATAACTTTGTGGTAGTCAAAAGACTCTTTCAGAATGTACCTGTGTTCTCAATCTCAAATTCTCACTGACGTTTCATATGTGCCTTTAGCACACAAACACATGAAGCTGCCGTATACTGGTCAGGCCATTGATCCGTAAAGATCAGTATTGTTTACTCTGCCTAGCAGCAGCCGTCCAAGGTCTCAGGCTGAGGTCTTTCACATCACCTACTACTTGGTCCTTTGTACTAGGCATACCAGGGATTGAACCCGGGACCTTCTGCATCCAAAGCTGATGCTCTGTCTCTGAGCCTCAGCCCCTCTCCTAAACCACAGAATCAACTAAAATCTGCAAACAGGAAAATAGGCACCTACTTCAGCCTCTAGTTCCTTATATGGGACGTTCCTATTATCAGCCACCTGCTTGTTGGCTTGGAAAAGCCCCACCTTGATCCCTGGCGAGACAGGATAGCATTGCTATAGCTATGCCCAGGGCTATTTTTGGGCAGGAAGGCACAGGAACAGAGTTCCGGCTGGCTCCCGAGTTGGCCACGCCCAGCAGGAACTCATTAGCATAATAGGCCACACCCAATAGCACAAACTCATTAGGATTGGCTACAGTAGGGGTGTGTGGCCTAACATGCAAAGGAGTTCCTGCTCCAAAAAAAGCCCTGGGTTTTAACAACAAACAAGGTAAACAGAATAAGAAGCAAAAGGTGGGTGTGGCTGGATGAGCACACTTCTGGTAACATGGGGTGTGTGGCCTCATATGCTAATAACCTGTGCTGTCAGGGATGTGGCCTAATATGCTAATGAGTTTCTGCTGTTGGGTGTGGCCAGTTATGCTAATGAGTTCCTGTGGGCTTTTTCTACATAAAAAGCCCTGGCTATGCCCTTGGTAATAAAAAATCGGAGGCTGGTATTTCTGCCAGTATAAAGCCTGCAATGGCTGGTCTCCAGGGTTTTAGGCTTGGGTGCAGAGATGCTAGAGAAGGAGCTGACAGAGCGCAGACTGCGGACAGAGGAGCACGTGTTTATTTTATTTATTACATTCATTTTTTATGCCGTCCAATTCCCTGTAAACAGGGCTCAGGGTGGTGTGCAACAATAAAGACAACTATATCACACTAATTAAAACATTAAAATTGCAATGGCGTTTCAGTATCAATTTAATCAGATGGCAGTCAGACTGCCAATTAAACTACCACCTAGCGGGGGGGCGGGGCGGTAAGAGTGCCAGCCAGATGGACGCCGTCGCTGTCCTCAAATAAAAGCCCGGCGGAACACCTCTGCCTTACAGGCCCTGTGGAACTGCATCAAGTCCTGCACGGCCTGGATGTTACTTGGCAGAGAGTCCCACCAGGTTGGGGCCAGGGCACTAAAAGCCCTGGCCCTGGTTAAGGACAACCGGATGTCTCTTGGGCCGGGGACCACAAGTAAGTTATTATTAGCGGAGTGTAGTACTCTTCAGGGGGTATCTCAGGAGAGGCGGTCCCAAAATCGTCAAATGTGTGGAAGTAATCCTTGGTGTTAAGAATTCCCTGTACACAAAGATTGCTGCAATAGTGCATACAATACAAATAATTATAAACAATAGTTAGACTCTGATAGCAATAAACTTCATGGAAGACTTGACCATCCGACTTAGAATTATACTTGTTTGTTAAGAGCTCTTGAAGAATTAATGAACTCCAGAGAGTCCACTGTTAGATTTTGCTATGCACGGATGCAGAACTGAAACCGTTGTTTGAAAAAGAGACATCGAAACGAACGGTAGCTCGGGAAGTTCATCCTCTGTTCTCCCTGACGTCATCACTCATTGTCCGATGGCGTCCTGTTATTGAAAGACCAAGATTAAAACAACATGAAGTTTATTGCTATCAGAGTCTAACTATTGTTTATAATTATTTGTATTGTATGCACTATTGCAGCAATCTTTGTGTATTGTGACATCTTACTGCTGCCCCTTCAATTGTTATATCATTGCGTTAAGAATTCCCTGTACAGCACCGACAGGGAGCAAAAATTAGTCTCTCCGTTCTGGAATTACAGTTGCTCTCCAGGCTACATAGATAATTTCCCGTGGATATGGCTTCGGAGGGTGGACTCTATGGTATCACATCCAATGTTCCCTCTAAGCTGCGGAGTCTTGTGAGCAAAAATTCTACTTGGTGAGCTACTGGCATTAAAGCTGTGAGCGAGCGATTCGGCTGCTGCATGAATCAGTTTGCTCTGGAGCCCCATCCTTCCTGAGCTGAGACAAAAATCTGTGAGCTGGAGGCTAAAAAACGGTGAGCTAGCTCACACGAACTCAGCTTAGAGGGAACACTGATCACATCCCTGCTAAGCTCCCTCCCTTCCCCAAACTCCACCCACCCTAGGTTCCACTCCCAAATCCCAACCCAGAGTTGGGAACTGTGGTACTTTGCTATTTGTGTGGTTTAAAAAAAATATGCAAAGGGATATCCAAAGCTGGACGCCTCCTCCTGCAATCTGAAGTGGGTGCCATTCATTTTGCCACCTTAGCATTCCGCTATCCCGTTGCCTTCTCATTCTCCTGCCCATGTAAATCTGGTCTTGGGTAGGGGTCTGTCGCATCCGGAGACTGGGGATCCTTTTTAACCACAAATGCTAAGGGACTGAACTTGAAAGCTCCTGCAAAACTGGTGCTCCGCTGCAAACCACTGGCCTCCAGACCCACCCTCTCTCCTTCCTCCACGCCCCCATAGACCGAATACAGCATTTGCGAGACAGCCAGCACATTGCAGTGTACCACGCCGGGCGCTTGTTTCGGGTCTGGCTGTACCACAACGGGAGGCTGCTGCAACCTCGTGAGCTTCAGGCCCAGTTTCAGTCGATTCTGGACAACGTGACGCCACCTCTGCCCGGCGAGGAGAAGCTGCCAGTCATGACTGCTGCAGAGAGGTGAGACCACCCCTGTCCCCATCCTTTCAGTTCCCTTCGTCACTGGTTTCCACATTAGGGTTGCCCAGGTCCCCTCGTCCTTCCGACGAGGAGTGTTTTTTGGGGGGGTGTTCTGAGGGTGGGTGGGGGGGGATGCCCTAATTAGTTTGCTCTGGAGCCCTCCTTCTTGAGCTCAGACAAAAATGTGTGAGCTGGAGGGTAAAAAAAATATGAGCTATCTCACACTAACTCAGCTTAGAGGGAACACTGGTGGCCACCCACTGCCACCCCTCTCCCTCCCCTCCTGCAGAGATTTAAAAGGCAAACCAGAGCCCCCCAAAGTGGGAGAACCCCGCCCAGACCGGAGGGCTGGCAACTCTATTCCACATCCTCGCCCAGTCTTTATGACAGCTAGGCTTCTCTACAGATGGCCGGGTATTCTCTCCAAAGAGCTCAGAGCGCGGTATGTTGATTACGGTCATGCTCTTTTATCCTAAGAATTTTCTGAGATCAATGACTCCCAGCATGGCTGAGCATGGACCTGGTCTCCCAAGTTTCCTGAGCCTCCCCAGGCCTCCCCAGGCGGTCCAGCATTCTGACCCCCTCGCTAACTGCCTTGCTCTTTGCAGAGACCCCTGGGCCCAAGTCCGCCAAACCTACTTCCAGTCAGGGAAGAACCAGCAGTCTCTGAATGTGGTGGAGAAAGCTGCCTTCTTTGTCACCCTGGACACCAGCGACCAAGGGCTGCAGGGGCCCAATCCAGGTCAGGCGCTGGACGCCTATGCCAAGTCCCTGCTACACGGGCACTGCTGTGACAGGTGAGTGCTGCTGCTGGGACAATCTGGATGGCATTGCATGTTCTTCATGAGAACAAGCTTCAAACTTTTCCATTTGTGGGTCGGGCTGGCATGGCCATTCACCTGCCCAGTCCCACAGCCTGGCAAGAGGTCATGCCTGACGGGCAAAGGTGGGTGGGTCTCCCATTTCCCAATGGGAGAAGTGCCAGGTGGCAGTGGAAGAAGCAGACCTGAGGGCAAGCCTGTAGCCACGGTGGGGTTTTGGGGGGCTCCGACCCCTTTCTTAAAGGCACAGCCCCACAAGAATTTCTCCTCTGAACCCTTTTTTCAATAATTTAAAAACATTTTTAATGGCATGTGCTCCTTTAAGCAGAGTGGGGGACTGTAGTGACTAACTCCTGCACTGAGCAAGGGGGTTGGAGTAGGTGACCTCTAGGATCCCTTCTAACTCTGTGTCAAGAAGCTGGTCTCTTTTAAGGGAGTTTTTCTGCCTAAGTGTTAGCTTTTTTGATCACAGAAGCCATTACCCCCAACTGCTGGCTTATTATTAGAATTGTTACTTAGGCTGGCAGAAGTGATTAACTTGTAGCAGCTGAGAACTGTCATCTAAAATGGTTGGCAGCTTGCAATTTAGAGATCTATCTTGGTAACAGCTTTCTATTGGCTAAATGGCTTTTCTTTCTGCACTGAGTTCTTCAGCCCCACCAGAAAAAAATTTGCCCCACAATCCACAAAATCCTGGCTATGGGCCTGCCCAAGGGCGTCATGCCCTGCTGCGTCTTCCAGGCGTTCCTCTCTTTAGGAAACAGGAAACGGTCCTAGCGATGTTGCAGGGGGCAGTATCCAATTCCATGACTGGAGGTGCTGGAGGAAACAGTCTCATCGTGTTCATGCACCTTTGCAGTCCATGGGCTGTGTGCCTGCAAATTAAGCTCTGAAAACAGCCTGTGCATTTATTTTATTTTTTATTGTTGATTATTAGATTTCTGGCCTGCACACCCAAGGCTCAGGTGGGGTACAAGAAGCAAGCCCTGGTGATGTTTGGGGATCTCACCAGGAATGTCACCAGGAATGTCAAGAATCACATCTCCAGGTTCTTTCCCAACAGGTGGTTTGACAAATCTTTCACGCTGATAGTTTACCGCAATGGGAAGTCTGGCTTGAATGCCGAACACTCCTGGGCCGATGCGCCTGTTGTTGGACACCTCTGGGAGGTATGGTCTTTCTGAAATGTAGCAGGTCTGGATCTGATCAGTTTCCCAGATGGGAAGCCACTTGGGATTCCTTCGGATGCCACCTTAAATTTTGTGAAGGCAGGATATAAATGTAATAAATACAGCATTCCATTTGGGGTAAGGTTGCAGTGGGGTCCAGGGAAAGGGAGTGGGGCTTTGTATTGGGGAAAGGGACCCTGGGAATGAATTCCCAAGTAGGGGCTTTAGCTTCCAGGATTGCTTTTATCCAGGAGGAGGAGAGAGAAAAACTTTAAATCTTCCATCTCCTGCTCCTTTCTTGCTGGAAAAAGCCACTCCTGAGCTGCTTCTCTCACTTGCTGGGGGGAAAAATATCAGTACCAAGTTTCCCCCATTGAGGCAAAACCAATTTGAGGTGGGTGGCCTTTTCCAATGAGAAAGTATCGGGGAAGCGAAGGACTGAAGTTCCCCCCACTCTCTCTCTTTGATAAAGCCGTCCTGGCAGCTAAATTTACGTGACAGAAGATCTATAGAAATAAAAATGGAAGAAATCGTCAACCGTGTGTAGCTGGACCCTTAGCTCAGCTATCTCTCTTCTGAACTTGCTTCCTTCCCAGTACACCCTTGCCACAGATTCATTCCAGCTGGGCTATGATGCCGATGGGAACTGCAAAGGCAACATCGAACCAGGCATTCCGCCACCCCAAAAACTGCAATGGGAGATCCCACCAGAGGTGAGTTTGGGATTAAGATGGACACAGAAGTATTGGGACCGTGTGAGTCAGGATAGGTGTCAGCTTGGGGATGTCTGGCTTTGGAGGCAGTGGCAGGGAAGAAAGGGCACGGCCAGGGAAAGAAAGCTGGTTTATATAGGTGGGCCAGGTGCATTTGGAGAGGGGCAATGTGGGAGGGGCTAGAGTGAGTAATGGAGGAGCTGATATTATTTTTTCATTACTGGTCTAGCGTAGACTTGCTATTTCTGGTTGTGGAAACGGCATGGTGGGGAGACTGAAGCCCATGCTTCCTCCATGCTGTGGTCCCCTATCCAAATTGGGGCCCTGGGCATTTGAAAATAATGATATGATATATCATTTCTGTTTTATCTTCTTTGTGATTGATTGTAACGGCCTTTGGCTCTATGCAATAAATGGTTTTGTATTGTATCACCCCCTCTTTTTTTAGCGCATAGTTTATTCTGGTTTTGCTAATCCTGTGGAGAAGTGCTGATGCCCTCTGATCAACACGCTGGAAATCTCATCTGGCCACCTTTTGGCTTTTGAGATTTATCAGGCATTGTCTATGTAATTTCAAGAATATTTTCACTTCCATGAGTGCTAGAAACTTTTTTTTTTTAAGAGAGAGAAATAAATACTCTCAAGAAGCTGGCATGTTCCCAAAATATATTCTGTGCTTCTTCCTACATTCTTGCAGAATCACAGCAGACACTCAGCCTCAGTGTGTGATTGGCTCCTGAGCAGCCAAGGAGGGTTGTGGCTAAGCAGGAGTTTATATAGTAGTTTCCTGTTTTCAGCTGTGTGCCTTTAATTGCCATCTGCTCCCCTTTGCCCACAGTGCCAACAGGTGATCCTGCGGTCCTTGTCTGTGGCTCAGGCTCTGGCCAAGGATGTTGATTTCTACATCTTCCCCTTCAAAGAGTTTGGCAAAGGCCTGATCAAGAAATGTCGTTGCAGTCCAGATGGCTTCATTCAACTTGCCCTACAACTGGCTCATTTTCGGGTATGATGCTTGAGGCAAGGAAAGAAATTGTTGATGGGCAGGCAGATGAGCACAGTCCCATGATCATCAGTGACTTAGGTGGTCCTGAAAGCATCACAACCAATAGCCACAAGTGGAATTTGGAAAGGCTCTTCATCCGGGCTAGATTGGCCAGTAATTCCGGGAAGGTTTTTTGCAGTAGGAGTGAACTGGAAGTATTTGTTCTTTGAAAGCTTCTGTTAGCAAGGCACCTGTTCTATTCTTTTGGTCTAAATTGTATAAAAGCTCACAGAAATACTACTTTACACAGAGAGTGATTAAAATGTGGATTTTGCTGCCAAAAGATATAGTTTTAATGTAACCTATGTTTTATTCCCGGCGCTGCCGCTTGTTTGCCGCCCTGGGCCGTATGGGTAGGGCGGATATAAATCCCAAAATAAATAAATAAATAAATAAATAAAGTAATGGCCACAGAAAAAAGCAGCTTTAAAAGTGAATTGGATCAATTCATGGAGGATAAGTCTATCAAGGGCTACTAGCCATGGTGACCTTCACATTCAGAGGCACTGAACCCGTGAATCCCAGAGCCAGGAGGCAATATCAGGGGAAGGCCTCAACCTCTATGCCTTGTTGTTGGCTGTCCAGAGGAACTGGTTGGCCACTGTGTGAGACAGGATGCTGGGCTAGATAGACCACTGGTCTGATCCAGCAGGGCTCTTCTTACGTTCTTATGATTCTATGAATGGGTGTGTGTAGTCTCACCATTTTACGGATGGGTGGGCTTGGTCTCACAGTTCTAAGACTGCATGGGAGAATTATTATGTTTGCTCCTGCCATATATGTCTTACAATTCAGATAGGGATGGAATGACTGTATAAAAAGTTGCCCCGTCCCTGGTCAGGGGGCAACCTTGATTTAGTTATCAGCTGTGGTTCTTCTGTCCCTAACCAGCATTTCTTCCTCCTGCTCTTCCAGGACAAGAAGAAGTTCTGCCTCACTTATGAAGCATCCATGACACGTCTTTTTCGGGAGGGCCGCACAGAAACAGTCCGTTCCTGCACCATTGAGTCCTGCAACTTTGTCAGGGCCATGGTGGATCCCACCCAGAATGTGAGTCCCAGAATCTGAGTGAGGTTGCAAAAGAAAGCCCTGGAATCAGGAGTAGAGTTTGATCTACAGGAATCCCAAATTCTTTTTTTTTTAATATATTTGATTAATTTTTAATTAACATAAACAATTTGACTCAAGAAAGCAGGACACAACAATTGATTAAAGTCAAGCAACCAGTAAATATAAGCAATATAACCCAGCCACCATAAACAAAAAGCCTATATAACCATATACATTCTGAAGCAGTTTGGACTAAAATACCACCATCATACCTCAATATTCAAAAAACATTCACGGGGATTACATCATATTCAAACAATCCCAAATTCTTGATTTGGCTAGGGATGCCAGCCTCCAAGTGGGACCTGGGGATCCCCTGGAATTACAGCTCACCTCCAGACTACAGGCTTCAGTTCCCCTGGAGAAAATGGCTGCTTTGAAGGGTGGACTCTGTGGCATTGTACCCTACTGGGGTCCCTGTGCTCCCCAGGCCCCATCCCCAAATCTCCAGGAGCTTCCCAATCTGGATCGGGCAACCCACCCACCCCCATCCCCTGCCCGTGGCCAGAGTGGACCTGGCAACCCTAAGTTACACAGAGCCAGAGAAGCATTTTCAAACACAGAAGGGGCTCGTGAGAACACTCCCAAGGTTTGTGCTCCACTTTGCCCAATTCTCATCCTTGGAATTACAACTCATCCCCAGACAACAGAGATCAGTTCCCCTGGATAAAATGGCTGCTTTAGAGGGGGGACTCTGTGGCATCGTACCCCGCTGAGGTCCCTTCCCTCCCCAGGCCCCATCCCCAAATCTCCAGGGGTTTCCCAACCTGGATCTGGCGACCCTTTCCCCTCACCCCCTGCCGGTTTTCAAGAGGAACCTGGCAACCCTACAGTGTGTCTCTCCTCTCTTTTCCTTCCCCTATGGGGTAAGCATATGCAGGGCTTTTTTTTCTGGGGGAACGTGCTGGAGCAGAGTTCCAGAACCTCTTTGACAAAACTCTTTTAAAATTGTTTAAGAGCTCATGAGTTTTCAGTATACAGGTTGAAACTTCATTTCCCTCTTGAGAATTCTGGCATCTCTTTTTTTTAAAAAAATAAAATAAAAATGCCCTGAGTGCTTCTAGAAATCTTGATCTGAAATCTTGTAATCTGATTAACTGTTTCATTGTTTTTTAATTAATTGGTATGTGTTTATTTAAAATGTGGTTTACCGCCCTGAGTCCATTCGCAGGGAAAGCAGTTTAAAAGAATCTAAATAAATAAATGTCAAGTAAAACCGAGAATGTCCTAATGGTCAGTCAAATCTTCACCCATCTCTCATCCCAGATTGGTACAAGGCTCCGTCTGTTCCGTGTGGCAGCGGAAAAACACCAGAATCTTTACAGGCAGGCCATGACGGGCGAGGGCATTGATCGCCATCTCTTCTGCCTCTATGTTGTCTCCAAATATCTTTGCCTGGACTCCCCCTTCCTGCATGAGGTACGTCCTGTTGGGCAGGGGGTTTGTTTGGCACCAGTACGGGGTGGGTATACATATGCAAGTACAAGGCTACTGAAACAGCGGGCAGACCTCCTTGAGGCAGAGAAAGCACAGACTCCTCTGTTCCCTGGCTGTGTTTTGAGCCATGCAAACAAATTTGGAACCACGGTATTAAGGATAAGCAGAAACAAAAAAACTACCATGATAGAATACTAAGTAACATTTATAATTAAAGGGAAAAGTTTGTATAAACAATTTGTGTGAAAGTCTCTTGTTGATATACAACATGATAAACAACCTGCCAATATACTGCAACAACTCTCAATATAATCAAAAACCTCCAAAAGATGTCACTGTCCAGAAACTCACAAATGTATAGAAATATGTTCATTTGTAGCATTATGCAGATATATATGCCAATTACAATGAGTCCAAGGTCAATCAAGATAGATTTCTGCCCATTTCACTTCATCTTTGCTTCCAGTCCCCTTTGCCAACATTTGAAAGTTGAAGGCTGTGGTTCTATTGAGATACGACTTGGATTGGTGATTCCCTGAAGTGTTATTATCATTATGGGTTCCAGAATAGAACAATTTGAGAATATTTATTTGAATATGACTTTGAACACACCAGCTTTGAAGAAATCTCCATGGTGAAATGGGTGGAAATCTAGATGCTTGCTGTCGGATCAACTAATTGGATGTGATATCCTCTCTGTTGGACCGGATTGGTTGCCAAATTGTGGCTATTCTCTAATCTTAAATATTTTGATTATTCTTGGACTCATTGTAATTGGCATATACATCTGCACAGTGCTCCAAATGGACATATTTCTGTATTTATGAGTTTCTGAACAGTGACATCTTTGGGAGGTTTTTCATTATATTCAGAGTTGTTTCAGTATATTCACAGATTGTTTATTATGTTGTACATCAACAAGAGACTTTCACACAAATTGTTTAGATAAAATATTCACTTTAATTACAAATATCGTTTAGTATTCTAGTATTTTTTTTGTATTTTGAGCCAGCCAGGACACAGAATGCCATCTCATGTATGTTTCCTCCAACAAGGCAAAATGTGAAGTTTTGTTCACCAAAGCTGTGTTGACTAGTATCTCCTCTCTCCCTTCGTTTTCTCTTGTTAAATTACCTTACTGCATGGGCTCCATCTTCCAGGGATCTTTAAGTATCCCTCTATCTCACAATAAAGTGGTTGGCCCCTTTGCTAGTCATGAAAGAAGCAAACCCAGGCCATCCACAGAGAGGGTTGGGGACGTGTTCCCTCTAAGCTGAGTTAGTGTGAGCTAGATCACAGTTTTTTAGCCTCCGGCTCCTGCATTTTTGTTTTAGCTCAGAAAGGATGGCTCCAGAACTAATTTATGCAGTAGCCAAATCGCTCACTCACAACTTTAATGCCAGCAGCTCACAAAGTAGACTTTTTGCTCACAAGAACCCGCAGCTTAGAGGGAGCATTGTTGGCAACCCTAATGTGTGAGCTGGAGGCTAAACAACTGTGAGCTAGCTCACACTAACATTTCTGTAGACAGTAGCATATACGGAGGGAGTGGAGGGGAGCACTGACAGAGGTTCCTGATGCCTTCCTCCCCTCCATCAGGTGCTTTCTGAGCCATGGCGCCTCTCCACAAGCCAGACCCCCATCCAGCAACTGGAGCTGTTTGATCCCAAGAACCATCCAGACTACGTTTCGTGTGGAGGTGGATTTGGGCCGGTGAGCAGAGCGAGGACTCCTGGATTCTCTGGGGGAGGGAGACTAGAGGCCTAGTAACTGAGTAGCCTGAAAGCCAGGACTCTTTCAGGTTCCCTAGGAGTGGTTACCTATGGTGGAGGGTGGAACTTTCTGTCTCCTGTTGCTCTTTCTCCACCACTGGGTAGGTGGATGATAACGGATACGGAGTATCATACATCGTCCTTGGCGAAGATCTCATTAACTTCCATGTGTCCTGCAAATTCTCCAGCAAAGAGACGGTGAGTGAGAACCACAAATTCCTGGATTCTGTGGGATGAGGGAGGAATGTGGATAAGGACTTCCTGAGATCTGGGTAGGAATCAGGGTCTAAATACGTATCCATACTTCCACAAGCCATTATTTTATATTCCGGAAAGTGTTCAGGGTCAGGAAAGATTTCTCCCGCAGGCCAGATTGGCTAGTGACTGGGAAGTCTTTTTTTTTTTTTTTTTGCTTACTGAAGTCATCTGAAAGGATTTAAGATTTTATTTATGGCTTTTAAGGAGCTTTATGCCCCCCATCAACCGTCAGGTTCCTGGGGTGGCAAACACCATGAGTTCGATCCTACCACCTTTGCCACAGGTGCAAGAGGGAAGGATGGGGCCTGTGGGATATGGCAGCCACTGCCTCCCGGACCCACCCGTTGCTTGGGGTAGCACAATATGTGGAACCAACTCTGCAACAAGGTGTCTAGAGACTGACTCCTGGGAGCCCATACACCGCCCCCCTCCTTTCCCCGCATAGGAGGAAATTCAGCCCAGATGGTTCAGGATCATCACCTGATATCCGGAGCAAGACACCATTGTGCTCTTTAATTTGAAAGAGAACGGCTTTGAAATATTCCACCTTCTGCAGTGCCAGTTTCTAGACCTCTTTGCTTCCCCTGCTTTTCTTCTACAGGATGCACACCGGTTTGGATCCCACATACAGCAAGCTTTGCTCGACGTGTTGGCCTTGTTCCAACTGGACAAAAGCTCCCCTGGCAGCAGCGGCAAGTGACTGAATAAATGCCAGGGGGATGCTCAGCAGGGCCATCAGAACACACCTGGAGTGTCCTTGTCTATTCTCTGATCTGCAGGGACATCCGGAGGGGAGGGGAGGAACATGCAAAGGCCAGGCCTGAGGTTTCCTACAAGGACATGACTGAGGCAGAATATTCTGCTACTCTTACCTTTGCGGGGAGGAGCTGGACCCTATCTGGATACCCCAGACCCTTGGGCAAACGACACTCCGATGCGCCTTCATGTTTCTAGGGTAGTTGAGGTTTGATGCATGGAACCGACAACCAGATCTCCTAGGTTCTTGTGGGGCGCACGTAAATGGGCTTGGATGATAACAGAAGAGAGTTTGGCACTTGGGAACCTGGCTTCCCCTGGGTTTCCAGCGTGGTGTTTTGACGGAGTGTCCTCAGCACTGAAGAAATTCTTCTTTTCACACCCCGCCAACCCGAGTCCCCAGCAGCTGGGCTGCGTCCCTTTTTCCACTCTTCACTTTTGAAGGATTCTGTCCAGATGGCTCCCACGGTCTGTCTGAAGCCTTGCAGATAGGATGATGTTTGAGGGGCGGGTGGGGGATGCTATTTCCTTATCACCTCTCCCTCTCTGTTGCTGGAGTAACAGGCCCCCACCCCACCCCAATACTGTCACGCAGTGGAAAGCCATCTTAAGTTACCGAATAGTTTTGTAGAGTATGGAATGCCTTTGTGGGGGGGAGGAGAATGGGCTTGCTACAAGGTTGGTTTTTCCTCTGTTTTGGTTTGCTACCATTACTGATGCGAATAAAACCACCAGGTGGGAGAGCTTATAAAAAGCAAGCACGCGTGACTTTTGTCAGCTGGAGGAGAAGAGTGCGGGGGGGGGGGATGCGAAGCACGTTCATGGGCCACGAGGAAGCAGAGTTGCCATGTTTAAATTCTCTGCTTCTAGGAAAGATACGTGGAACGGAATACGCCGGCTTCCTCTCGCTTATGTGTTGCATGGCAAACCCAAAAAAACTCCGGTAATTGCCTCCCTCACCCAGTTCTGTTATTAGAATGAAGCTTTAAGTGAAGCCAAAGGTCTCATTTTCGATTCAAGGGCTCAGCCCAAACTACTGAACTGGGAAATGGAAAATTGCATATGGATTAATAGGGAAAGAGACCTTGGTGAAGGATGGAAAGAGAAAATGAGAGCTTCCCCCCCGTATTATAACTGACTTGGTCTTTGATGGCAAAGGCCAAGTGCAGGTTAAAGCTGCTAAACAAAGTGGGAGCCGTGGCTCAGTGGTAGAGCATAGGTCCCAGGTTCAATCCCCGGCGTCTCCCGTTAAATGATCAGGTTACAGGAAAGACCTCTGTCCGGGAGCTTAGAGAGTGGACAAGACTGTGTCAGCCAGACTGGCCAAGACTGGCTTTGATAGGTCAATGATCTGACTCCCTAGAAAACAGGTTCGTGTGCAGGGTGGGCATTCAAGGATTCTAGGTGTCTGAGATTGGGACCCGCCTCCAAATATGTGCCCAGACTCCCAAATTTTAGTTTCCTGTATGTGCAAAGGCTTGCTTTACCACCCCCTTGTCTAATGGGAATGGAAGTTCGTAGCAAAACTTAGTTGGTGTCCTCTGCTTCTCAAATTTCCACAGTACATTTGTGCTGGGCAGGACGGGGGGTGGCTCCCAAACACGAAGATCTTAATGTGTGGGCTCCGGCTGCTTTTGGGGAGGGTGAGGGGCTCGCAGGGGAGGACTAGGAAGTTGAAACGGCCCCGGAGCGAGCAGAGCCAAGCCTCTGAGGAAAGTCTCCCCCTGGAGTCACAGCTTGCCAAAGGACTAGGACAAACAGCCGGTCACTCAGGTTCATTAATGTTTATTAGTATTATTATTATTATTACTCTCATTCATTATTGGGGGTCACGATTTAACTCCGCAGGGCAGGAATTCTTCTTCATGAGGGCCCCGGCAGCAGCTGCCATGGAGATGACTTCCGGTTGGGGCGCTCCCTCCTGGGAGACCAGGGACAGTTGTGAACGGAGGGAGCCCAGCTTTCTGAGGAGGTGATCCAGGCCGGAGGCCTTGTCCCTGCCAGAGAGAAAGGGGTAGGGGGGAAAGAAGGCAACTCCTTCGTCTAGGCCGACAGCCTGCCACCCTGAATCTCAACTGACAGAAAGTGGTTCTCCCATAGTCCCTTCCTAGCCCACTCATCAAGGAACTCAGGCGGGCCTAGATGGCTCTCGCCTCCTCCATTTTATCCACACAGTGTCCCCTGTGAGGTAGGCTAAGCTGAGAGAGAGTGACTGGCTCAAGGTCACCCAATGCGTTTCATGGCAGATTTCATGGATTTGTCTGCAGCCCTAGGCTGACCCCGTTAAGGGACCCTAACGCTCACTTTTCCGGCTGCTCTGCTCCTCCCCTCCCCGGCACCGCCTCAGCCCTCAACTGCACCAAGTTTCGCTTCCCTTCTACTGTTCTACTGTGCCCCCTTGAGGCACTTTCCCCTTCCCTACCGTAGCAGTTTGCAGAAAACAGGACTTCTGCTAGGCCCGGGGTCCTCAGCCTTTCTGAGGCTGTGGGCACCTTTGGAATGTTGAAACGGGGTAGTTGGCGCAGAGACAAAATGGCGGCTGCAGGAGGCGGAGCGGCGCAAATGTAGGAAGCCCAAGTGCGGGGGAGAAGAGGGGTCATTTAAAAATACACAGGGAAAGGGGAGTGAGAGAGACTAAAGTCATCGCTGGCTGTGGTGGCAACTCCGACTGGAAAAAAAATGTTATCTTCCTATGGACAGCCAATCAGAAGCCCTGTTCAGCAAGAGCTCCACGTTGCCCCACCCAATTTCTAAAAACACTTGGTGGGCGCCAGGAAAGATGTTGGCGGGCACCATGGAGCCTATGAGCACCCCCTTGGGGACCCCGGTGCTAGGCAAAGCATTCCGGGACTTAGGGCCAATTCCCGTGTTACAAAGTCTTCATGTCCTCCACGTGGCCACTCCAGGTTCCGCTGATCTGACAGAGTCTGGGAGTTCTGAATTCAGGACTGAATTCCCAGGTGCATGGGGGCCTGATTCAGATCGGGAGTGCAGCAGGTAGGGTGGGGCGAGGCTCAGTCCTCACCCGTGCACCGTCCTGTCAACCTGAAAGGGCAGCCAGGGAGTCACTACTTGCCTTGTTGGGCAAACTGAGGTGTGAGGCCTGTCCGTTCAGGTTCGTCAAGGCAGACGGTGGCTCGCCAGGGCCATTTCCGGTCAGGAAAACAGTGCAAGGTGAAGAGGCACAACCTCCTACTCTTTGCACACTGTGGTCCTGATCCAAATTGGGTCTGTGTATGCCTGGAAATTTTAAGTTCTGAGCACAGAACTTCCAGCGTGAGCATGCCTGACTGACAACCAGAATTAGGCTTGCCAACCTCCAGGCAAGACCTGGAGATCTCCTGGTTCTACTACTGATCTCCAGACAACAAGACAGAGTGTCTCTGGAGAAAATGGCTGCTTCAGAGAATAGAGTCTGGCATTGCACCCTGCTAATATCCTTCCCCTCCACCACAAAAAAAAATCTCCAGAGGTTTCCTAACCCAGAGCTGGCAACTCTAACCAGAACCCTGGGCGGCCACACTTAGGGGCGTGAGGCCTTTGTAATGCTATGAACGGGGCCCTTAGTGGACCACCTCTCTCTGCTCTATGCTCAGACCTGGAACCTGGGAAATGCAAGTCAGGAGTCTCTGTACTTGTCTCACTGCCTTCTCCAACTCCCCCTCCCCCCCAAACCTCACTGAACATCAGGCATCAGTGTGTATAATTAGAGCATGACAGCCTGTTTCTTTGCAGCATGATCTGGTGTGGAGAAGTGGGTAGGGAGGGGGGACTGTAACCCTTTCACTTCCCATCGCTTCTCCCCTCTTAATTGCCCACTAAGCTCCTTTGCAGGGAAGAATCAGGCTGCCGGGCTTTTACTGCCTGCCTGCCTCTGGATTAGGCCCTCCGTGCTGCCCCAGCCTGTACCTACTGATGTGGGCAGATCACGATGGGTAGCCGTGTTAGTCTGTCTGTAGCAGTGCCAGAACAGTTATCTGAAGAAGGGAGCAGTGACTCACGAAAGCGCACACCCTGCCATAAATAGTGTTAAGTCTTTCAGGTGCTACTGGACTCTTTTGCTCTTTTCTACTGCTGCTAACGTGGGGTTAGCAGCAAGGCTTGCATATTGAAAAATGCAAGTACCCGGATTTTTTATACTTTTATTTTTGTGGCGGTCAATTAAGGTTGCCAGGTCCCCCCTGGGGAAGGGGAGGGGAGGGTGGGCTTGCCAACCCCAGGTTTGGGAACTCCTGGAAGATTTGGGGCTGGAGCCTGGGGAAGGGAGTGACCCCAGTGGGGTACAATGCCTTAGAGTCCACCCTCCAAAGCAGCCATTTTCTCCGGGGGACTTGATCTCTGAATTCTGGAGCTGAGCTGTACTTCCGGGGGGTCCCCAGGTCCCACCTGGAGGCTGGCATTCCTAGGTGCTTCCGCTGCTCTGGGAAGAGAAAGGGAGCTGGGGCTTATTTAGGGTTTCCGACTCCAGGTTGGGAAACTGGGTGGAGACTGGGGAGGGGGGGATTTGGGAAGGGGAGGGCCCACAGCAGGGCACAAAGCCATAAAGTCCACCCTCCAATGCAGCCGTTTTCTCCAGGGGGGGGCAACCTCTTGTTGTCTGGAGATCAATTGTAAAGCCAGGAGATCGCCAGGCCCCAACTGGAGGTTGGCAGCTCTAGCCTTGGTGCTGCCAAGGAGGGTAAGGGACGGCAGCCTGGGGCAGAGGGGTGCCTGAGAGTCTGGGGATAGTAGAAGGGGCGGGCTGGTGAGGACTGTTCTTTCGAGAGGTGCAGTTTCTTGGAGAGTATCAAAGCACAGGCCGGATAGTAAGGATGGGATACCGGGGTGGAGGGCCATCACCTGATTAAACAAATCTCAGTTGATTATCGATGCTTCAGTTGATTAAATTTGCACACAAGAAACAGGCAGTTCTAAAGGAACAGGCATACTTCTGTTTCAAGTGATGGGGCCATGTGTCACAGGTGGGCATTGTCTTAGAAGACAGAGGCTTTCCCCCTTTCCCTTTCATACAAGAGGGGATGATTCTTCTAAGGTGGCGCTTGCCGGCTGCAGTTTTTAGAGGTACTTGTATGAAGAATTATAATAAAAATATTAAAAAGCTGCCTGACTCATCGAGGTCCTCTTTTTAGTCCACAGTTTTGTTTTGTTTTTTAAATCAGATTAATTGAGTAAATGGGTTGGGGCACTGGCCCTATAAGGCAAAGCTTTGGGGCTTTTAAAATTTAGAAGAGTGGTCACCCATTTGGAGATGGATTTAAAGGGGAGGCGGACAGATTGACATAGGATAGGTCTACTGTTGGCCATTAGCCGTAATAAGCCAAATAGGACCTCTAGCGACAGAATGCCTTTGATGGTCAAACTCTGGGGCATTCGGTAGCTGAAAGCTTCTGCTAGTGGGGCCTGCTTGTGGGTTTCCTGGTGGCATCGGACCAACCACTGTTGGAAGCAGGAAGCTGGATGAGCTGGACCCATTGTTCTGATCCAGCACGCTGCACTTATGTACTGCAGTCCTGCAAAGGAGCTCAGATAAACACCAGGCACATAATGAGAAGGGAGGGTGGCAACGGTTGCATCAGTGCTTAGTTCTCAGTTCTCCTGGCCCTTTCTCACATGCTCAGGGAAATGCCAGTTGCCACTTTGGGGTCAGGAAGCAGTTTTCTCCAGGCAAGTCTGGCCAGGGATCCTAGAGGGTTTTTTCCCCTACCATCTTCTGGGCATGGAGCAGGGGGTCACTGGGGGTGTGGAGGGAAGGTAGTTGTGAATTTCCTACATTGTGCTGGGGGTTGGACTAGATGACCCTGGAGATCCCTTCCAACTCTATGATTCTAGGATGGAGAGAGGACCAGCCTTTCACGTTTGGAAGGAAAACAAGGCTTCTGCTAGGCAAAGCTGCTATGATGATGGAAAAGGTCGTCTGGAGAAAAAAAACAGGTTCTAAGTGCTTGTGCCTGACTCTTTCCTCTCACAGATCTTACTGCCACTTAGAAAGCACTATTTAAATTGAAAGAGTCATGGGAGGACTCTATTCCCTAATGACCCTTCCCTAATCCTCAGAGCAGCTGCCTTGGCTTGCTAATTAGTTTAAGAAAAACATGGAAAATCCTAACCCAGGGATCTTTTGCCTCTCATCTGATTGGGTCCTAAGCAACATTATGGTGCACGCAGGATTTCAAAAGGTCCAAATCCAGTGGTGGGGGCCCTGCATGACTAATGGGGCCTAGGAAACTGCAGGGCAGGGGATGGGATAATTCAGCGGACGTGTCCTGATGTACTCACTCTGGATTGATCCTTGGCCACTCCAGATTGTCTTTAGCACACCAAGCTTCCTCCTGAGTCAGATGAACATTCGAACTCAGAACCTCTGCCCGTGTATGTGCATCGAAGGCTGACTGCTTCAGATCCTGCCTCCCGTGTTTGGAGCAATTGGTAAAAAACAGAGAGGGAAGGCTCACAAGCAGGAATTGTGTTTTGGAATGGCCGAGCCAAAGGCTGCATGCAACTGGAAACCTAGAATAGCAGGGAGAATGCAGGGCTAGAACCTTCTACCCTCAAGTGCTGGCTTTCTCCTTGCAGGGGCTTCTCTGCTTTTTTAAAGATAAAGAGACCCATTTTAAAAAATGATAATTTCCCACCTGCGCCTTGAAGCTACTTTGCTTTGTTAGGATTCTGCCCCCTTGCTCTCCTGCATGCATAGACCAGGCTGTGCTTTAAATTCCTCTGCTGGCTAACAAATTAGGCTTAACTCTTTAAAACGGGATACAGGGGAAGCAATTAGCAGGACCTCTTAGCTTTTACCTAACAGAAAAACAGATGGTGTTGCTAGGAAGGAGGATATTGAGGATTTATTGGCTTGGATCCTGCGTTCCACATTTGTTCCAGTCATCGCACAGCTCGCTTCCTCAGCTGCCACCACTTCCATGCACAAAGGAAGTGCAAAGGAAGTGCACTGCAGCCGGAGCAAAGAGCGTGCAGCAAACGCCCACAAGTTTCCAAGCTTTGCCTGTCTAGAGTTACCAACATCTGGGTGGGACCGGGAGATCTCCCAGAATCAGAACTGATCTCCACAACAGGGATCAGTTCCACTGGAAGAAAGTGGGAGCTTTGGAAGGAAGAAGAGATTGGATTTATACCCTGCCCTTCACTTGGAGTCTCAGAGAGGCTTACAAACTCCTTTCCCTTCCCCTCCCCACAAGAGACACCCTGTGAGGTGGGTGGGGCTGAGAGAACTCTGACACAAACTGCTCTTTCAGGAACAGCTGAGCCAGAGCTTGTGACTGACCCAAGGTCACATCAGCAGCTGCAAGTGGAGGAGTGGGTAATCAAACCCGGTTCTCCCAGATTAGAGTCTGCACACTTAACCACTACACCAAACTGGAAGACTGTGTGGAGTGCCATACATTCTAGATGAAATCAGTCCCTACACTCCCCTGTTCCTAGGCAGTACCCCAAATTGCCAGGAATTTCCCAGGCTGGAGTTGACAATGTTAGACTTGATGCTCACAGCCACCCTCCAAAGCACGATGCCCAAAAGACGCACGAGACACCATTTAATGAGTTTTTAAGGCTCAGCGAGTTTCTCCCATATCCCAGACCTTGCAGACACAGGACAGGGCCCCTGGACCCAAACTGTGCACTCCATACGGTGTCTCAACAGTGTAAAATCAGCCTGTTCTTAAGGGTTTATGGCATCTTGGCATGAGTATGCCCACAGCTGAGATTAAATCATCTGAGCCCACATCTCTGAGGGACAGGGCCAACTAGCTGGCCCACAGCCCCTCTGGGGCTAGGGCCAGGGGAGGGAAGGGAGTCTGGGGTACCATTATCTTCTTCTGCAAACGTTGGCAGCTGGGGCATGTGCCCAAGACTGGGGTCCTCTGCTTCAGCTCCTCCAAGATGGGGGCCACCGCATTCTCGACCATCTGCCGCAGCATCTCAGTGTTCACGAAGCTATAGCTGTGGTCAGAGATGCAGGAGAGGGTGTGAGAAAAGAAGGGAGACCGTTTGGATAGGTATAGAAACTCCCCTCTTTTGCCTTTCTCCTCCATCACTCCATGCCTATGAAGATTTCCCCTGTGCCAGAAAAAGGGTTCTTGTTAGTGTATGAAGGAAATGTCAAAGTCAGGACTTCTGTCAGTCCGTGGTCCAAATGCAGTGCATTTATGCAAGTGTGACTATTTTGCATTAAAGCCTAAGTCCTTTTAATATTAACCCTCACCATGAGCTTCTGAAAAACTCTATGTTTGCTGGCAGGGAAGAACAGTTGGAGGAAAGATCAAGGTAAAACAGGAGGATGTAATTGGGACGTGTGGAGGCGCAGGACTGGAGGGAACATGGAGGAGGAATAAGGGGGCATAGCTTTTTAAAAGGTACACAATGAAGACTAGAGATACAATCTTTTAAAGAAACGAGAGTCGAGATTTTCAGGAATGCAATGCCTATACTAGTTTATGTGCATAACTGTTAGTCTGTTTTGATGATTCAGCAGTAACCAACTTGGGGAGAGGGGAGACCTCACGGGAGCAATTACTCCTGTGAGCAATGCATCATCTGACTGACTCACTGACATACTCCAGTCTGAGCTCATTGATTTCAGTGTGTAGACTGCAGTAAATCTGCATGGGATTGCACTGTCTGGGCGGAAGTATATGTTGCATTAAGTTCCACGGTGTCCTCCTAAGACTCTTCCCCCTCCCTTTCCCAAATGTAGCAGCTGCTTCTGGGAGGGAGGGTGGGAATGGCTTCTGAATCCTTTCCTCCCCTGAAT